AGTTTGAAAAACTGAGACATGCCAATCACTTATTTCTATTCTGCATGATCTTCGATGAGTTGGCATTGTGAGGGGCGTGTTTGTCATTCAGTGCCGGAGACCCTCTTCCACAATACCCACCTGTAAATGCTCCTGGAACTTAATCGGCAGTATTTGTGCCATCTTGCTTTTCTTGGCTGTCTCAGGATCTCATGCACCTGATGCAGTGTGTGTTCAAGGCGTACTTTCTGTTATACCGGTGGCTGTCTTCACTGTCTAACAGTTCGATTAGTATAAGATGGCGGCCACCGGGTGAGGAGGATGTCGAAAGTAGTTCTATATCAATACGCACAAGCGTCACATCAAATTTAAATGTTCCACAGGGCTATAGTGTACGTTTTTCGTGAAGAGGGGCACTCTGCTACTTTAAAAAGATGCTTTCATTTTCTTACATTTGCTTTAGTTGCGGTATTATTCTACAAATAAGAAGAGAAAAGAGACCTAGGTTTCGTCAGGTCATTTCCGTGTCAATCAGTGAGCGCACCTGTCACGTGAGTTGCATGACGTGTAGTCCAAATATAAAATGCTTGCAGGTCATTCTGAATGCAACACACTGTGTATGGTTGATTCCCTCCTTTGGCGCCATCGAAGATGTCATATTCTGACAAGCTTTCAATTAATGTTAAGTTTACTAAAAACAACAGATAACGTTTATAATGACAAAAAATAAATTTACAAGAAAGTGAAAATTAAACCGAAGACGGTGTAATGCGAAGGATAATAATATATGCCACTTTCATTATCAGTTTCAATTTTTGGAGCAAGTTCACTGGATAACCAACTTGTGTGCACACAGAATTCCATCCGTTTTCCTTTTCAACTACCTGTCATACATGTACGTATACTATAAAAATATGGAATTTCGAATGTATTGATGTACAAGTACAGTATTAAATTATATCTTGTAAAACCTGCCAACATGACAAAAAAATTATATTCTTTCAAGTGTCAGGCCTATATGCAGCACATGACAAGAAATTATATTCTTCAAGTGTAAGGCCTATTTCAGGCATAGACGATCATGGTCCTCCAGTTTACCCTATTTTCATTCGATTGAATGAGCTTATTCTTGGCCAGTCATTGATTGATTGCAAAAGCACAAAGACTGTCAATGTATGAAGTTCTTTGTCTTTCTCTACTCCTATACTTCCTTCAATTTTCTCTCTCAATTTTCCCACAGAGAACTTTTTTTTTCTATTCCATCTTTTCTGATTTTATGGCCCAAAGATTTCATTTGTCTTTTTCTGATTGTTTTCATCAGTGAGCATTGTACTCCTGCAAGTTGTAACACTTCTCCATTGGTCTTTCTTTCTATTTAGGATATTCTCAACAATCTATACATACAAATAAGTACCACATTTCCATAGCTCTCAGTTTCTTCTTAGGGTTGTTGGAGATATTCCACCATTCACAACCATAGAAGGGGACTGAGCACATGTAGCATTTCAGTGTTCTTATTTTTGTGTCAATGGAGACGTTTTTATTCTATATATAGTATGGGGCTCATCTTATATAAGCAATGTATTAGAACTTTATGCTATATTATGAACCTATAATTTTGCTACCAATAATATTTTGTCCAACATAATACGAACCACTTCATCACATGTGAAGAGTTATTTTCACTACTTTTATTTTTGAAGCAATGAAGGATACCATTTTTTGTGGAATAATAAAACAGGGTAATTTTAAGTGCATTTCACAATCTTGGAAATTAAAATTATATTAATAACATCTTTCCAGCATGTTAATTTTCCACTGTTAGTTATACAGTGCAAAGCAAATAATAGCATTTCCCTTAAAAAATTCTTGTCATTCTAATTACTTTTTCTTTTTTTGACAATTTGCGAATCTTTTAATTGAGATTTCTGAAAGGTCTGTTCTATGTTACAATTGGATTAGCAAAAAAAAAAAAAAAAAAAAAAAAATCCCTGGCTATCTTCAAGACCTAAATATGATATTGATTACCATTATTTGACACATGCACATACTTTCAGCTGTGCCAGTTGTATAATTAATAAAACATCTTATAATTCTTACATGAAGAATACAAAATTGCACATTTTTTCCCAATACATTTATCTCTAATCATACATGTGTATGCATCATAAAATAAGATGAGCAGTACTCATGTGCACATGCACACACTTACAAAAAGAAAAAATAGTATCCCAAAACGTGTGTGAAGTTTCTCTTTATCTAGAAGAGTTACACGTATGCCAATTAATGGATAAAAAAGACATTTTCTTATTTTATACTGTCCATAGTCATCATCCATCACAAATCAGGGGAATATATAAAATCAAGAGCTATCTTTTCTTCTAGAGTAAGTCCTGGATGCCACAGGTCCACCATGAACACAACTCTGGAACCCTCTCCTTTCACTGAGTGTTTCACTGAGTGAGAAAATGAATCGTCAAAAACAGTGCACTGCCCTTGCTTCCACGTAGCTGTCTGGCCTCCCACATGTAGCTCACATTCTGGAGGGACCACAAGTCCTGTTAATGAACAATAATAATAATAATAATAACCAAGACAGAATAAATTAATCAATCACATCATTAAAAATCAAACAAATCCTTTTACAGCAGAACTTTTTTCTTTATGTATAAAATTTTAATATACCAGGTTATGTTTATTGGCACGTTTTAACTGTTAGTCACTGCTAATACATACATACATACATACATACCTAAATGAGTTCTAATCCGGATGTTTGTGGGCCCAAAGTGTTCCGCTATTTCTGTACCTGGATACACCACTGAGAAAGATGCATTGCCTAAGAGATTACAGCCCATAAAGGAAGGCAATGCCTTAAGAAGACTTACAGTATGTGGGCACTTTTTGCAATTGTCTTCAAGTTTAGTGCCTTGGTTTACTAAGTGAAAAACTAGCCATTTTCCAGTTGGGGTAGTGTTACAAACCCACCCAACAGTACTGGCATACACACATTCAAATTCTTTGAATATTGAATCAGCATTTGATTCCAGTATTTTTACATCTGCTTGGAACATGCAGTCTTGCCAGATTGGCTTTGCAAGTAATCTTTTCACATAAAGTACATTTGGGCATTGATTTTCCACCTCATATTTTACGTTTCCTTCTCCCATCACTGACNCAACGTTTCCTTCTGCCATCACTGACTCGGATATTCTGTCCAAATGCTTATGGTTGGTTTTTGGCCCCTCTGGTTCTGCCTGGACAATTGCTAAATACATATCTAGTCTCTTTTTTGCCCTTATTTGCGCCTGTTCATATTTGTTGCACCTGACACAACCAGGAGAATCACACAAGGCTGATGAGTTGTGTTGGATTTTATCTCCGTGATAAAAATTTGAAATAAATTTGACAAACGATTTCCTATTTATAAAAATAAATGTAAATAAAGCGACACAGAACAAAAAACAAAATCCTTCCGACAAAAACTCTTTCCATAATGATTCCATTGCAGTTTCTCCCAGGACAGTAAACTACATGAAAGACTCGATTACTACGTTTGGTGGGCACACGTTGTCAACATGATCTTCCAGCACTTGCACGAGCTAATGTTTACATCTAAGAATTCTGGGAAAATTTTTTTCTCAAGTTTCTTCGGTTTTAATTTTTTTTAGTTTTATGAAAAAGTCTATATTGAAGGATAATTTGAAATTTATTTCAAAAATAGATTCTTTTTTAACACTTTACTACTTCCCGTTAACTTGTATTTTTGCGAGATGTACACATACATAGCAACAATATGGCGGACGGTAAACTAGTAGTACTACTTTCGCAAATTCTGTGTCATTGGGCGCCGATTTAATTCCCATCATATCGAATCTTTTGCTGATAAATTCATTGCATTGTGTATCTTTAGCTCTAAAACACTGAAAAAGTTGTAGTCTGCAGAGCTATTATCTTTATTTCACACGATAAAAGGGTTCTTTTTTGAACTCTTTCATACTGCGCATCTATTTAGCAGGTAATGTTACTGTGTTGAGGTTAAGGTTTGCTGAAGTTAAAATGTACTTTTTGCATTTGATGCATATATCCGATAACTTGAACTGTCAGTAATGTTGCGTACATAAAATACAAAATGGATGACCCAAGAATCGAATGGATTAGGGACCGTGTGTATTTAGCATTGGACATCAAGGAAAATGACGTATTTGATGACCTCCTCAACAGAGATGATGGACTTTACGAACGAGAAATCGCTAAGTTTCTGAACGAAACACCGGAGGAAAATGCAACAGCTTTGTTATTTTACAAGATAGTTACGGAGGAAGAAGAAGAAGTTGAAGTGGAATGTGGTAAGACATACTATCTTCTTGATGATTCCATGCTAAATATTCGCTTTATAGACGGGCACCTGCAACTGCTGCAGTTAAACTCTGGAACTTCAGCAATTTGTTGGCGTTTTTCTATCAGTTTTGATAGTACTTAACTTATAAGTTCAAGCAGAATAGACATCGACATTGGTCTTTTGTCTAGTAATTACTTTTGATATTTCCCTTCAGAGCCTGAGATTCCTGATATACAGGCAGAGGATGAGATTGAACCTGACGGTGCTGATGGAGAGCAACAGGATGACGTTCCAGTGGCAAATACCCCTAGTGTTGCTGCAACAGAAGACCAAGAGGGAGATGGTGGGAGGAAGAAAAAAGGTACATTGCTTAAAAAAATTTAATTTATCAAAAGTAAAAATTAACAGCAAAAAATGCATGTGTTGTAATTTTTTTTTCAGGATAGTGAATATTTACTAGGTTCTCATTTAACTGTTATGAACTTAAATGGGAGTCAATTAGCACAGGCATTGTAAAACTCATCACAAACACATATTAAAAATACTTTCTAGGCAAAAAGAAAGGGAAGAGAGGAAAAGATACTCCATCAGAAGAGAAGAAAGAAGCCACTCCAGTCCCACCTAGGGAGCCCACACCACCACCACCTGAGCCTGAACAAACTGGAGAGGGAGGAGAAGAGGCACAAGATGATGATGAGCCCAAGCAACCACTTACAGTAGGAATATTGATGTTTATCTTCCAAGGATTATGTTTAATCATGCGATAACAGAATATACCCTGTTGTGAATGCCCTATGGCCCCAGGCCTACCATACTTCCAGACTCGGCACCGAATGATCCTGAATTCACTGGTAGATCAGACCACACTACCCGTTTTCAAGGTGTGTGTCAGATCACATTACACAGTATCATACCCTGAACAAATTTTGAGTGGTGATGCAATGCTTTTCAACCCCGCTGAGAATCGTCACTATCACATCGCGTACTAGGCAAGAGCGGTGTCACGTCTGTTACTGTGTAATGCGATCTGACACACACCTTGAAAATGGATAGTGTGGTCTGATCTACCGGTGAATTCAGGATCATTCGGTGCCGAGTCTGGTAGTTGGGTAGGCCTGGGCCCTGTTGCAGTAAAAAGGGAGGGGGGGGGAGAGGTAAAGAACAGCAAAACATTGCATTTTAGAATTTTGTGGTAGAAAATGTGGTAAAGATAATCATTCATTTTTAACAACCCAACCCCATAAGAAGGTATCAACCTCAATAACATGTTTATCATTTTTATACAATATCCTCAAAACAGAAGTCATATTGTGTATTTGGAGTGGGCTTTTAGATTGCAAACTTTACATTCTTTTTGACAGAAAATCATCATTCAGAAGGTATGGAGGACATACCTGTACATGTGCTATGGGCATCTCCCCGAGGAGGTTGCTGACAAAGACTGCGTGTACTTCCTGCGTAATACCACAGGGATGGTGCCTTTGCCAAACAGCATTGATGAGGCAGTGGAAACACTACCAGCACTGTTTGAGACTGGAATCCTAAATGGTCACTCCTTGGTCATGCTGGAACAAGTGATCACGAACGTAAGTACAGATTAATATGGGATGAAACCAAAAGATTGTGTTTAGAGTTTGCATGACTGAAATACCATGAAGTTTAATTAGTCAAAAACCATTAGACACAAAAATTTTGCATTATTAGGCTTACTGGTAGTCTGTGTGAATATTTAGGAATTGGTTTATTTATTTATTTATTATTATTATTTTTTTTTTTTCATTTTCCTTTATGGGATGAGAGGATAAGCTAGCAGCAACCATTTTGAAAAATTAATGCTATTAAAATAATTATTTCAATATTTTATTTGGATTGATAACCAGGAGTTATGAATTAATATTGCAGGTCTACATGCCCTTCCTATCTTTTCATCAAAACAAAAATGGAGATGGCAATCAGAGCAAGTCTCCTCCAGCAGAGGCAAGCAGGCCTCCCACTAGAGAAAACACAAATATGACACAGGTCTCAGGTAAGCACATCTTTTCATTTGTATTTGTAACATGACAAAATTGATGTTAAGTTATTCTAAATCATTACATTTAATTTTCTGTCAATTAGTTTGGCATCTTTAAAATATAGTTTGGACAGTGCTGAAAGGATAATATTTCAGATATGTCATTTGATTGTAAGCTTGAAAATAAGCTTATCAAATTTTTTATCAATTTTGTGGTGATTCAATTGTTTGGAAAGTCTTTCATGACTGACCCAATGTTTGAAAAACAAAATTTATTGAGGATATAATTTTTTTTCTCCAGCTGCCTCAACAGAAGAAGAGATAAATGTCCAGGAATCCAAAGCCAAGGCTCTGCTCAGAGATGAATTTCTGATCAATATGCAAAAGTTTGCCAACAGTATCACTCGCACAATACAGCAGATTGAAGGAGAAGTGCGACTAGAGATTCCTGATATAGAGCTCCCAGAAGACATCCATGTTGCAGCAAAGGACAAAGACCTTTGTGCACAACTTGAACAGGTAGTAATTGATTGGGACAAGCAAGTCCAGATGGCAGTAGATGTTGTAGTAAAGAAAATGCCACAGGGGAATGGACCCCTTGCCGAGATTGAATTTTGGCGTGAGCGTAATGCTGCTTTGAGTGCCTTGATTGAACAACTCAAATTGCCTTATGTACAGAAAGTTCTCAGTATTATGGGACTTGTAGAAGATGCTGTAGAAATCCATCGTGGGGATCTTAATAAACTTTACACGGAAGCCAAAGACAATGTGAGATTCCTCTCCACACTGGAAAGGCATTTTAAGAATATAACCCATGGTGCTACATTCCATGTTGTAATTGAAACCATTCCATCCATGATGAATGCACTGCGTATGGTGTGGATTATCTCACGGCATTATAACAGAGATGAAAGAATGGTTCCCCTGATGGAGAGAATAGCCTGGGAGCTAGCAGAAAGAGTCGCAAGAGTTATCAACTGCAGGACTCTCTATAAGTAAGTGCTATGAAAAAATACATATTTACACCTGACAGGCTGACAGTGTACTCTTCCTTATATTTCTGGTCTTTCTTGTGTTAGGATTGGCATAACAAATTGCTTATCATCTGTTGAAATGTATTGGAAGGATTTGTATAATTATTATGCCATCTTTTTCTAAGCAATGGGTATTTATTAACTATGGTTGCCAATGATGAAATTCTGATATTAAATCAAATTCAATTCATTCTTTTAATGTAGAGATGGACCAGTTGAGGTGAAAAGAAAGACTTCAGAAGCAAAGAGAATGCTTGACCTGTGGAAAGAATCTTATCTGGATGTAAGAGCCAAGATAGAGGCATCAGGTCGTGATGCTCGCTGGGAGTTTGACAGAAAGAGACTATTTGAGAGGACAGATTATATGTCCCGAATTTGCCAGGATCTTCATGATGTAGCACAGGTGAAAAAAAATTACTTCACTGTTTTAGCCAAAAATTCACAAATTAGCAACACTTATCGTTTTTTTATTTGGTGCTAGTGAAGGGGTATGGTAATACTGTAAACAGAACTAAAATACCCGCAGATAATTGTGCTCAACAGGAGCAAAAATTATTGCAACTGTTGATCCTTGCTTATGCTTTCTGTTCTTTATTTCCTAGGTTCTTGAAGAGTTCTACAACATCTTTGGTCCAGAATTGAAAGCAGTTACTGGGGACCCTAAGAGGATAGATGATGTGCTGAAAAGAGTTGATGATTTGGTGAAACCAATTGAAGATGTAAGACAACAATTGTTTATGTGACATGATGATATTTAAACATGTTTGGCCCTGTTTGTTGGTAACAGTAAATATATTCAGAGGAACTATTTTGATTTTTTGTAAAACTTTCATCCATTTAAATTTCTGATCTTTTCTTTATAGGCCTGTATATTGCATTTCTAGATCTCTATGCAATTTTTTTAGCTTTTGTTTATTTTGTATTCATTTTGAAAAAGAGATAAAGAGCAGTGTTTTCCTAAATTATATGTACTTCACACCCATACAGGTGTCCTTCGATCCATTCTCTTTCCGAGAGCAAGATGGCTGGCAGAAGGTGATGAAGTGGTTTCACAGGGAGGTCCAGTCTATTGAGGAGGAGGCACTCTCTTTTATTGATGAGTCCTTCAAAACTCTGAGGTCTGCCGAGGGAGCATTTGATCTTCTCCTCAAGTTTAAAAACATCCGCTCCAGAGAAGCTATCAACAATCAGCTTATGCAAAAGTTCAATGATATTTTGATGCAGTATGGAAGAGAGGTTGGTTGCTTAGTTACTTTACCATGTGCTTTGCCTAAAGCTACCTTCTTCTATTGATGTTAAGCTTCTCCACAAAGAGTATTTGAATCTCTTTTTGATGAAGAATTTCATTACGTTTTTTATTATTTTTGTTTAGATATAATCCCTCCTAAAAAAGAAAGAAAAAAAGAACATGAAATTGAAGACATGGGCTCTCTTTTTCAGGTTGACATCATGGATTCACTGTTCAGAGACAACAAGGATTCTCCACCTCTCCATAAAAACCAACCTCCTGTAGCAGGGTCCATCTTCTGGGAGAGAGCATTATTCATCAGGATCAAACAAACCATCATCCGCTTCCTTACCATGGATGAAATGATGCAGAGTGACATAGGAAAAGCTGTAAGTGATAAATTTTCTTAAATTGAAATTGCAATGATTGATAATGTCTCTGCTAATTTATAAAACCGTTAGTATATGAGTAATACAGGTAAAATCCTACTGTTGATAAGAGCATATTCTTCTTCATCTGTATGTCACATATGTATGTTTCATGGCATGTAAGTGGATTAAGTTATTCCTAATAATAATTTTTTTCTTTTCAGGCAAGAGCTAAATACCTTAGCGTTGCAAAACAGATGAAGGCTTATGAGGACAAGAAATATGAAGAATGGAGAGAAAATGTCGAGCAAGTCCTGCCTGGTTTACTGAAGAGGAATCTATTAGCAAAACCCTCCCAGCAGCAACTGGTTCCCAGGTCCAGTGAGGGTGAAAGAACAAAAGACACAGGTGAGTTATATTATATGTGTTGGTAATGCAGCTCACTATTGGGAAAAAGGAACATGAGAATGCTGCTGCTGTGATGATGATGATGAAGATGATGGTAAAGAAGACTTAGGTGAAAAAATGCAACAAGGAAGAAAGCATATGCAAATAGATAGCAAATCTGTGGGCTCCTAATCCTAATCAGTTGATTTTCATTGAACTCAACCATTATGTTATATATAGATAGATGGGATTCGTGGATGTTGATTAAGACAGTCACCAAATTTACTCACTGAAGTCCAAAATCACAACTTTATCTTGCATGATTCACTAAGCTGGAAACTTTTACACTTCTGCCTTTTTAAGCATCACAACATTTATAGTTACTTATTCTTGGCTTGCTTATTGTAATTTCTTCTTGGGATATTTTGCTACAAAATCAAATTATAGAAACCACAATTTTTTAAAATTTGTTGATTAAAAAGCAAGACTAGCTCATCTCTGTTGTTTTACTATTGCTTTATACATTCAGTTTTTTCATGCTTTATATTTTGCACAGTATTTATTGTTGAAATTTTGCTTTTATTTCCTAATTTTATCATTCAAAAAATCAACTATTATTTTCACACCAGAAAGGCTTATCAATAAGGTGCTTAATGCTATTTACTAACATAAATTGCATGCTTTCTTATTTCCTCACAAAGACTCACAGAGTAAAAATACCAGCCAAAGTGGCAGGATATCTATCATGGTGGAAGATAATGGCCAGGTTAAAAAGGGTATGTTTCTGCTCTGAGATTTTTACCCAAAGTCATCAGAGTGTAAATGTGGATATATGTTTGACTCATAAACTCCTCTTTTGATATGGGCAATCATTTATTTATTTATTTATTTATTTATTTATTTATTTACTTTTTGGTTCATTTATTGTCCAGAAGTGGTAAAATTGTATTGTCATCGTATTGTAATGTTGTATTGTCATCGTGTAGTTAAGAGTTGTAATAATTTATTCCACCATTTTGTCTAATTGAAATGATATTATTTGATATTAACAATTGCAATTTATACTTTTTTCTAATATTTATTACACTTTGGTTTACTTTAGTTANTCATGGTGGAAGATAATGGCCAGGTTAAGAAGGGTATGTTTCTGCTCTGAGATTTCTTTTTTACCCGAAGTCATCAGAGTGTAAATGTGGATATGTGTTTGACTCATAAACTCCTCTTTTGATTTTGGCAATCATTTATTTATTTATTTATTTATTTATTTATTTATTTATTTATTTATTTATTTATTTACTTTTTGGTTCATTTATTGTCCAGAAGTGGTAAAATTGTATTGTCATCGTATTGTAATGTTGTATTGTCATCGCGTAGTTAAGAGTTGTAATAATTTATTCCACCATTTTGTCTAATTGAAATGATATTATTTGATATTAACAATTGCAATTTATACTTTTTTCTAATATTTATTACACTTTGGTTTACTTTAGTTAACTGGTGTAAAATATTTGTAAAAATAAAGTGTTAAGCAATTAATTTGCCAAAATTTTACAAAACGTTGCATCTCATGAGATATCAGAATTTGAAATGTGTGACCAAGTGCTATTTGATGTTAACTAACAACAAGCCATGTGAATTTGAATGCTTATGCCTAAAGAACTTAATTAATATTTTACTTGGGATATGCCATTAAATGCTTGTTGTCTGTCAGCCAATACAACCCTATGTTTTATTTAAATTGGCTTATAATAACAAAATTTTGTTGTGTGCTTTTTAACACATTAGCCGAGATACGCTCAGCAACTCCTAAACAGGAAGAACAAGGTAGTGACATTAATGCTTCCAAACAATTTGTGTGGGTGATATACTACATTGTATGCTTTGAATTGCACATTTGAAAAGCCTGCAGAGTGCTTGTGCTTTATGTATTGGTGCTTTTTATTTTAAACTTAATTTTCTGGTGTGTCTGTGCTAAAAAAACATACCTTATTGGTCATTTTGATGGACCTTTCACTATATTTTTCCTTCTGCACTTTTTATATTTTTAAGAACTGATATTTCTAAAGAGTATTTTTTTTCTTTTATCATGAATAATCTGTACATAATGATTCTTCCTCTTACAGTTATTTAATATTTTCTATTTACCACTGTTATAACTTCAGTGTGCACTAGAAGATGTGGTTGGTGGTTTCTTTTCAGTGGTGCTGTGCTATGTCTTTTGTTTTTGACTAATTGGAAAGAACAACAATATTTGCCGTAACAGTTGTTTGCTGTGATGCAATTTTAAAATAATTATGAAGGAGCAAATTGGTCTTTCTAAATGAATGGCTTTTTATGGACTTGTACTGTGTTGCCTTAATGTGTAATTGACAATACATTTTATAGCTTGAATGTTTTAAGCTTTTGCTTTGTATGCTTAAGTGATTGATGTTTTTATTAAAAAATAATTTATTTTGTGACAGTTGCAGTGTTAAATGCTTTTATTGATACTCATTCTCTAATTCAAACATTGTTGCATGTGTTTCAGCAAAGCATTAAGTATCACCCTTTTATGCTCACAATATTCCTTTGGGTTTATAGGTACTCAGTACGAAGTGAAGTATATTGTGGATTATGACCCACAGCTAGCAGAGATAGTCTCAGAAACCAAGTACATGGAGCAACTGGGTTTTGCTGTGCCAGAACTAGCCAGAAATGTTGCACTGCAGGTGAAAAGGATATATTCTTTTCAAACTTTTGTATTGATATTTTGATTGGTTTGTCAGTTACTTAATCCAAAACTGTAAAATCTCATTTGAGGTTCACATTATAAAAATGCTTGTAATTGCCCAAGTTACAGTTGGTCTATATATTGTGTTTCTCATCTATCTTTTTACCAGAAACTTGTATTGTTCAGGATGTTGGAGATATAAATTTATTGACATGAACTTGAAATGAAAAATTTTCACAAGAAAAATGGCTTTAATTTATTTGTCGACAATGATAATGAATGCCTGATAAATAAGAAACTCACTGCTTAATACATCCAATAACATTATGTGTTTTATTTTATTTTTCAGGAGGAAAAATACATCAAGTATGTGGATGGACTGAATCACATGCTTACCAGATATCACCAGTTGTTGGGATCTCTTGATCAGGCTGAGGTGGGGAACACTCCCATTCTGAAGTTTCACTGAATTTTGAATTTGGTCATTTTAAAGTTATCATGAATCATTCTATAAGAAAGACAGTGCTATAGCCTCCAGAAGTTACAGAAATGAACACTATTTCCCACATGTGGTATAAAACTTAGGTTTGTCATGGTTTGATTCAATACTATAATCCAGTTCAGCAGCTCAAGAAATAACTTATTATAAGTACACAGTTCATGTCAATTAAAACCTGATTTCAAAATTAATACATGCATATATCTGATGCCCCTTTTCATCTAAAGAGTGCATATTATTCCAGACTATCTTGCTGGAGCATCATATGAAAGAACTGAGGCGAGTTATTCGTCCAGGATCCAAGAGACTCAACTGGAACTCTCTGGGAATCTTTGACTTTGTTGCTAAGTGCAATGGTGTAAGTAAATACAACACTTTGTTTGATGAATCACCAAACTAATGCTAAATAGATATTAAACTTGCATTTTTACTTCTAACTTGACAACATTGTAATTTATATCATCATATTTGTTTTGTTGTTGTTATTGTTGTCATATAAACCACTATATTGCATATGGTTTTATCATGTACTTAAAAACATTGTAGGCTATTAGCAAGTTTGAGTCATTGGTGAACCAGATTCAGAAGAATGCGGCAGACATCAACCAGAGACTCAAAATGGTTGAAGAGACCAACCTTTTCAAATGTCCTCCCCCAAAATTCGAGGATGTGCTGCCTAGCTGCAAGGTGAGACTCTGAAAACGTTTTATGTCTATGTCTCATGTGATCTTTGATTCTTATTGCTCTGCAGATGTGTGTTTTGATGAAAAAGATGTTATGTATTTTTATGGTAAATGTTCTTTTTTGACTGTCATGAAATATTCCTTTTAGAATTATGAAAAATTTTAATTGGTAGTTTATTTCAAAAGTGTTACTTTTATATTGAATCTGAAGCAGATAAAAATATCAGATAAAAAAGTAAAAAATAATTTTTATTTGTCATTTTGCAGGAATTTTTTGAGTATATTGAAAGAGAACGTGCCAAAGATTTTGAAGTCCTAGCAAGAAAGTATAGAGCTATAGGTCCTTTGTTGACCAAGATGGAAGGCTTGGTTGTTCATACAAATACAGGGAGATCGCCTAAGCTACGACAGTATTATTCCTACTGGGAGAGGAGAGTGTATGACTCACTAAACAAGGTAAAGATAAAGCATTTGATTGATGTATTTCTTAAACTTTAGTCTGTTAACTTATGTTAACTTCATGAATGTTCTTAAACTGAGAATATTTCAAAAGAACCAATTTATAATGAATATTTGCTCTTTTCTTCAGCTGATCATCAATAACCTGAAGGCCTTCAACATGGCGGTGGTGAACCCAGTGGCACTGTTCCAGGTGCAGACCCTGCTGGCAGCACCAGATGTTGTCTTACACCCAGCTACCAATGAGATCTACAAACTTACTCTGCAGAGTGTCCGTGATTGTGCTGAGGGGTATGAAAAAAAAAACTTATATTTTATTCATTTTACCTACACTTGAGCAAACACTGCAAATGAGTTCTATAATCTGATTAGTATATTTTAGCAGTTTGATAGCTGATATATCAAGTGTTTATGATATTAGTCTCCTCATGCTCATAGAAATGAATAACACTTTCTTAGGACCAAGAATTTTGTGCGCTGGATGGATGGTACATGCATAGAAGCTCCGCCTCAGAAAATCCCAGGAGAAGATGAGCCATATGTCTTCACCTTCTTCTCTGATATCTCCACCAACCCAGAAATCATAGAATTAGTGGGAGTGATCCAGGGCAATATGAAAAACATACTGACAGATCTACAGAGGTATCTCTTCAAGTGGAAGGGATATAAGGGAATCTGGCACATGGAAAAGGTACTTCAGATATTTACTCAGCTTTCATCTTTTTTCACAGATAATCATATCAGATATAATAATAATGATAATAATAATAATAATAATATGTATCCGGCCAATTTAGTATTTATAGACTACATATTAGTACAAATTATTTTACTGAATCAGAAGAATAAAAAGTATTATATATAAAAACTGGGTGAAAAGATTTCATAGTTACATGTTAAAGTTTTAATGAAAAGAAACTGCAGACAGATAAAAACCTTTTAAAACCCAATCAAACATATGACATGATTTTGTTTTACCTTGCAGGTTGCCAAAGCAGAGAGGTGGTTGCAGAAAGACCCCAGTGTTGTGGCCTACGATGACCGACTCCAGTATTATCACAAGGTCATGGAGGATGTGGCCAACCAGCCGCTGATCAAGGACCAGATGTGTATCAGACTGGTCATGGAGCCACTGGCACATTCCATCAAGGACCATTGTAAGCAATGGATTGACCTCATTGGGAAATTGCTGCAGGATTCTGCTAAGAGCAGTCTGTACAGTCTCAAGGAAGAGTTGGAGGTGAGTTTATTAAATTTACCTATTGCACATGCAATAGATGATGGATTCAATTGTTATGGTTGTGCAATATAATATCATATTGCAAAATTATGAATAAGATGAACCATTCCAAATACCAGTCAAAGGTGGTATTCCTTTTACTCTGTTAATACAATACCTGAATATAGACAATGTAACCATCATAAGGACTGTTGCATTTTTTTTTTCTTTTTTTGGCAAGGTTTAAATTGTGCTATTATTATATCTCTGTCTTTAAACTTAGATTAAAATAGTAATGGTTTAAAAGTCATGGCAGAACTGCTGGTGTTTTACAGAAATATGCTTGCTGCAGTGCCATATATGTCATTTTTACAGAAAAAATCTGATGACCTAGAGCGTCCCCCAGAGACTCTTGAAGATCTGAAGTTTGTGCTAGGAATTATGGCTGAAATTAAAGACAGGTCTCTGGAGATAGAAAACAGGATTGTGGATATTAAGGAGAAATACAGAACCCTTGGCATGTACAAGCTAGAGGTAATGAACCAAAACTTTTTTAAATTTGCAGATTTCATTGCAGTTGACTTGTGTTGAATTGAAGATAGTGCTCATTTGAGCAGGTATATTTATTTATTTAAGTATTTTCAATTAAATATATCTCATTAACTCATTTTAGACCACTGAGGAGGAGACCACCCTTGTGGCCTCTTTGAAGGACATGTGGAATGACCTTGTCTTCAAGTCCAAGAATGTAGATGCTGGACTTGTGGTGGTCAAAAAGAAATTTACAGAGGTAAAGAAATTATTAAGCTATAAAGTAATAGTAATAAAGTAATTTTAAAGTAATAGTAATAAAGTTATTTGATTTTCCAAATAGTAATAGCATATCAGATATTTCTAAGTTGTACTTGGAATACATTATTATGTTTTAGTAATAAAAGAATTTAATCGTAACTAATTAACAAATTGATTTTAGGCCATGGATTTTCATATGGCAACAGTTGGTACTAATTATTTATACATGTGAGGTAGCTATGTTCATGTTTTTTATTCTTGTTATAAAAACATTCATGCTTTTTACAGCCCATTTATTCCCTTATTTCAGATAACACTGGAACAAATCAAAGAGTTTGCCAAGACATTGAACAGCTTTGCTGAACGTTTCCACATGGAGGGACCAGGAGCTTCTGGCAAAGATCTAGACAAAGGTAAGTGCTGATGTTAGAAATGGAACTGTAAAAATATTTCAGTTTAAATCAGAGAAAATGCAAACAGCATTTTGTATCAAAATTCTGATTTTGATGCTGTGTGTATCATTTGCAATTATTTTTCTGTTGAAGGTAACTAGAAATGTTCTTGCTTTAAAACTTGAGGTCTTGCTGAAGTATAAAATTTGATGATTGCCTCTTGTTTAACTATTTCCTTCAGTGCTGTAGCAGTAGTTGTTTTCAAGTAATGAATTTATTTTTAAAGCTGTTAAATTTCCTTTAAAGGTGTGGAACTAATGAAGCAGTACAGAGAAGAAGTGGCCAAGTTTGAGGCTGATCGCCAGGAGCTTGCCAATGCAGAGAAGCTGTTTGACCTGCCAATTACTTCCTACCCAGAACTGCTCCAGGTTCATAAAGACATGAAAGGACTGGAACAAATCTATCAAATCTATTTGGACCAGAAAGTATGTAGTTTGAAGCTTTAGCAACTAATTTAGATTCCATCATGAGACATTAGTTTTGTTGATAAATACACAATGACTTTATGATATTATTATTAGTATACATTGTACCTTTTTAGGTGAAGTTTAAATGCGTGGCCTGTTGAATAATGAGCATACTTCTAGATGGTTAGAATTGGAATGACTTATTTAAAATGATGTTTAATTGGTTCATCATCCATTTTGAAAATTATCATTCCAAAAAGTTAACATTAACCTACATTATGGTGATTTTACTAATAAGAAAGACATTGAACAATAAACATTAAAATAAATTGACCTTATCTATATTTCTCTGTAGGCTGCCAGAGAACAGTGGTCAGAACAGCTGTGGGCCAACCTGAATGTCACTCTCCTACAGGATGGCATAGAGAACTATCTAAAGGCCCTGCGCAAACTTCCACGTGAGATACGCAACATGCCAGTGGCCAGAGCCGTAGATGAGAAGATGAAAGCTTTCAGGGACTCACTTCCATTGTTTGTGGATCTCAAGCATGAAGCTCTGAGAGAAAGGTATGTTAAAAGTGCAAGTTTACATAGTTCTTAGTTAAGATAGATGTACAGTTTAAACTGGGGCACAAAAGTAACATGCTCCCTTATAGCTTTTAGAAGTTACTTTATTATTTCATTATTTTGCACTGATAGCTTAGTCTCTCAATCACTTATAATTAAGCATCCATGAAAAATTACCTTATAACTGCAATGTTTTCATTTTAATGTGCACATTCTTGAAATGTTTTATTGTATTTCAGACATTGGAAGGAGTTGATGACTAAGACTGGTCAGAATTTTGACATGAACCCAGAAACTTTCACACTAGCCAATATCTTTGCCATGGAGCTGGAGAGGTTCCAGGAGACCATTGGTGAGATTGTCACCTGTGCTACAAAGGAATTGAGCATTGAAAAGGTGGGGAAAATAGCCATATAGTTTTAATAAAATTTTAAAGTATTGTTGTTAAAAGCATTTTTTTAAGCCTGTGCATTTTGTTGCTTAAACAAAAACTAAAAATAGTTTTCATCATTTATTTTATGTAAAATTTATTTCATATCAGTTAACCATCATATATGTGTTTTAAGACTCTTGCAGTGGCATGTTTGGTAAATTGCACCATAATTACCTCTAATTTAATGTAGCCACCATGCAAATGTCTCATGTTTGCACATCAAATTGGTGCATTTAATAATCATGTTGTTTTACTGTATTCATAATAACCATGACTATATCTTTGTAAATCAGGGTGTGAAAGAGGTGGAGGAGACCTGGGGCAGCAATGGTATGAAGTTCACAGTGACTAAGTACATGAAGGGGACATCAGATCGTGGTTGGATCCTGGGAGCTGTGGATGAAGTGGTGCAGTTCCTGGATGATAATGCTATGAATCTACAGAGTATGTCTGCCTCCAGGTTCATAGGCCCCTTCATGAATGCTGTACAGAACTGGGAGAAGAGCTTGTCACATATCAGTGAAGTGCTAGATGTAAGTTGATTTAACCAGGGTGTTTTATGTATTAATTTTTTTTCTTTTTTTTTTAAGACAGAATATGCCTTTGTGCACCTGTTAGGGAATTTCAACAAAGCATGGATTTATATAAACATTGAATGAATGCAATTTTTCTTTTGAATTTGTTTTCTGCAAGAGAAAGTTTAGAAAGGAGTAAAAAGTGCTTCTTAACTAATTTTTAAA